AAATAAAGACATATCTTTATGCGGGAGAGGGACGGAGATTTTATTATCCTTCGATAGCTTTCACAAATAATGTATTGAAAGATAGTCTTTGTCGCTATATAGAACTTTGCTTTTGACGAGAGCCCTTAAATGGGATTAAGCTCAAAAGATTGATGCGCGTTGTCCAAATTTGACACTATTCGTTTTTATATCAAATTAGCATTCGTCACAAAATACTAAAAATTACATATTTTTCTCATATATTCATAAGAAAGACCAAAACAATGTTGTACCCATCGTATCCAAATTCGTTTTTCACAGTTCAGTATGCCAAAATTCCATTGCTTAGTGATTCTTATCGAGAAATTTTCAAAATATGCTCTTTGGTATAGGAAGACGCTTATAGCCGTTGTAATCGAATCCGTTTTTAATATAGTTCTTCTTGGGGCAAGACGTTAGAGTATCAGTTTTTTTTGGAATATTTATAGACAGGCGGATCTTAATCGGATTTCCGTCGATTTAGAAGACGATCCAGAATCGATTGGTGTAACAAAAACCGAGTCTATCCTTTCGGGCGCTGCACACGTCCAAACGAACTTTACCTTCAGAAAGGAGCAACGTAAAGTTCTCTAATTAAACTAATTTTCAAAGGACTCTCTTTCCAAATCAGTTATCAAAAGTGTATTTTGCGATCTCCCTACTGTAAAACTCTCCGAAATAAATGATTACGCAAAGACGATTTGCAAAATATTCCGCAAACACTTAAATTGTTTTTTCTTTCATCGGATATCTGCGTAGCTTAAGATTTAAGTTTTTTAATCTTTTTATTAATTTCCTTCATAAATAAGTTAAATAGATGCTGCTGTTGGATTTAGATTTAAATTCATTTTCGAAAACTTTGTTGTTTTAGCAACGCAAAGCAAGCTATAAGATCTTAATAGCATGTGAAGCAAGGCGTAGAAGATACTCTTAAGGGGGATAGCTTTTTTTTGAACAACTTCAAAATTATTACCTCCCATCTAAAGTTCTTCTTCTTTCACCGTGAAGCAGACGCATTATTCTCAGTAGAGTTTCCAACACACACATTATTGCTCTGTTTTCGCATTAGCTGAGTTTCTTTCTTAAAACTATTCCTTCGAAATCACTGTAAGTAGTCCCAGCAGAACGTTGCTCTCATTCAAATTTTTTCAAAATAATGTTAAAAAGGTTTTGACAAATAATTACAGGGAAAAAAAGATTGAAAAGAAAAATATTTCTCTCAATAGCGTCAAAATTCATGTTTAACATCGCAATGAATAGGCAAATTAGTACAAATCTTGGCTGAGTGAAATTTTTACCCAGAGTCTTGTCATACAATACGAAATTATTCATTTCTTTCTCAGCATTCAATGCCAGTACGTCCAGAAAAGTTTCTAGTCATTTCATTTACCTCAAACTAGATCTTGACCGCAGGCAAATTACTTTCATTCTAAGCTAAGGTAGCGTACAACATTATTAAGATATTGTATAAGTTCTCAAACAACGTAATCGATACTAGAGAATGCGGTCACATCTTCATCGTAAAGTAATATTTCTAACTTATCCCGCAAAGCATGTTGTTTCACAGCTTTGTAGAGTGGAGGCGAGAGTAGCGCAAAACGAAAACCTTCTGAGGTAAACGTGAGTTTGTCCGCTTACTTGGAAGGATAGTGCCACGTGCAATTTGCTGCAACGAAACGAGACCGTCATTAGCGAATATTGCGAACAACAACTGATAGCTGTTAAAGCGAAACTCATCAACGAGTCTTTGACATCAAATAGAATGTGTTTCTTCCTCCTCCTCTGTTCAAAACAGACATCACTCTTCCTAATTAAGACTGGTTTCAATTGATGACTTTTTGCCACATCGACGACCGTTAAAAAATAGATTCCTTTTGTGGATTGCTTTAAATGATCACCTTTTCTTTTCACATGAAATTCAAAGTCTGCCTCATGCGGTGGTTTCAGAAAACTAATAACGAGTGACGTTTCTCATATTTTGTGTAAAATATTTTATGCCATTTTTTTTTTTTGTTTTGTAATAAACGTTTAATTTTTTTTTTAGGCGAAATGAAAGTTGCGCTCTTTTAATGGGTTCGAAAATCGAAAATAATTTAACAATGATTTATTTACCATTTATTCAAAACAACAAAAATACCATTAAACTTTGTCTTTGCATATATTGAAAGTGTTAAGGGAAAATAAAATCTGATATCTGCCATCAGCCATCCGCCATTCGCCATCCGCCATCAGCCGTATAACTGTATGTATAAAAATTTTTCAACGCAAACAAAATTCTCTTCTGACACTATTTTACATTTGAACGCCTTAATGTGACATGACATTAGTCAAATATGTACTAAAATTGACGTGCACGGGTGGCTATGTATTTGTCCGCGCACACACACATATATGCACAAACACTGTTAAATGCGAACACTTTCGAGCTTAGAAGAGTAGAAAATATGCAACAAAAGTGAAACTAAACCTCTAGTGAAACAGAAACCAAACAGATATTGTGAAATACATGTGTGCACATGTATATGTGCGGATGTCTATTTATGCATACGAGCATAGCAAAAACATATCCGACACAAACCTTTAAGGATACCAAAGTAGATGTTTTTCACATTTTGTCCCTAATTGCTTCTGATTGGAATGTTCGCCCCAACGTAACGTTAGAGTTGTGAGAAAGTACTGCACATAACATATCTACACACAATTAATGTGTACACAAAAATAGACATACTTTGCCGTTAAAGCATAAAGAAAATATTTAAAATATATTGCGGTTACAGTGATAAAACCATTCTCGGTGCTTTGCTTGTTATCTTTAACATAATGCGAACATTAAAGACAGTGTCAAGCACTTGCCTTAACAAAAGCCGCATGTAAGAATTAATAAAACTCAGAATAATAAAACTAGTTGCTCTAGTTCTAAACTGCCGCGTAACGCTTGATGGCAGAGATTGTTAAATCTAATAATTCAATGAATTCTCGAACGCAAACTTGGTTTTGAGAAAAGCATTTTGGTTTTTCCAGCTAAAAATGACATCTTTCTACGTATCTTTCACTGACTTTATAGAAATGGATGCCCTGCGCCCCGAGTAATGCCTTTAATGATATGCCCCTTATCTCTTTTGTTTTTCACACTACAAACCAAAATCGCAATTGATTTTCTTCACAGCAAGACGAATGGGCGAACTGTCTCGTCTGACAACTTACTGGTCGTGAGTTCAGTTCTTAAGTGCTTTAGATGTTTCAATAAAGTCGATAGCCTCAGATACTAGTGCTTTAAAACATTAGCCTTTGAATTTATTTTCTAATTAAACTAATTATAGTAATAATAATAATAATAGTTTTTTTTATTGTGGGCTTTTTTCAACATTTCTCGTAATATTTTTTGCGAACTCATTTAACATTTAGAACAACTTTCTTTTGAATATTGAATAGTATTTAACATAGCATTGGTTATAACAGTGAGGGAGATGTCAGCAGTGTATATGAACCAGAGGTGGGAAACTGAAACTGCATTCTTGTTGAATTGACGAGACTTACATTGCCCTGTTTCCCCTTCTCCAAATAACATTGACATATGAATGCTTCACTTGCCAAATCGATTAACTCCATAAAACAAGAAGTTGAGGAAAATGATAAAATATTATAAAAAAATTGTTTATTATTCAGTGGCCAAAAGGGTTTTGTTGTTTAGAGGTGTTAATGCTTATTATTAGAGAAAGTCGTTTTGAATATGTACAGTTAAGAGCTAATGAAGTGCTTTGATATTAAAATTTAATAAAATCCCAAAAATGGAGTTAATCGATTTGGCAAGTGAAGCATCCATCACTTAGGATGAAAGAGGCGAAGAGAATGTGGCAAAGAGAATACTAAAAATTACTGTCTGTCCGTCTGACTGGTTGTTTCCGTATACAACCTCCAAGTCTCATTTTCCCAGATATTTTAAACAAAACCACCGCATTGAGTTGTTTTGGTCGAGGAGTAAACGTTATTGACAATTGATCGGGTCGGTTTACTTTGGTGACCTCTTCTCCTATGAAAGCCTATTTCAAAAAAGTAATTAGTTCCGATTTTCCAGATATCTCGACAAATATGCATAAATGTTGTAAATTTGAACGAAATGAGGCCATCTCGCTCTCACAAAGAAACGGGCCTTTGAATAGCAAAAAATTGATACCAACAATTTGATTTGATATGCAAAATTACGTTTATGCACACGTTTACTTTTTTGAACCCCTCCACATTTAAGCGGTCTCATGAAAAATAGGCCCAGATAATGAGAAGAAAGTATAATTTTTGACATTTTATTAGGAAGATAGCTAAAGAATTACACCAGACCTTGTAAAGTAGGATATTCAATAGCCTACTTTGAACAATTCGCTTTTGAGTTGTAACGAAAAATTACTTTTGTTTTCAGGTATTTGGTACAATAGCAAGAATCGTGATTGGGTTCGCATAGACGGACGATAGTATGCATTACGCCCTCTTAGGGGGTTTAGATCATCATCGCAGCGAAAATCATCTTTTTGTGGAGGGAGCAACAGCTGCAACAACAGCAATTATACGAAAATTGTCACAAGTACACCGGCAGCCCCACCATCGACGCCACACGAATTTGTGAATTGCACTGACATTGATAAAAACGCGTCTCATACGAATCTCACAAAATCTGACACATCTCGTATCGTCGTATATTCAGCTTTAACGACACCCGATTATTATATCAATCAAAAGCAAATAAATTACTTTCAGTTTCCACCGGCAGAATTACTGCTAGATCCGGCATCATCCACATCAATATCAACCCCATCACTGGCCACAACAACAGCCGTAGCGTTAGCAGCATCTTCAGTCTCGAATTGTGGGGCTAACACCATAAGTTCCACTTCATCGCCGTTAGATTGTGCCTCTGCTAATAATTCACCTAAAAGCATTTATCACTATCTTCATCACCATCACTATCATAGTCAGCTGCAACGCTCACCTTCACACGCAATAACGATGGGTCGCCGTGAAATTAAGCGCTCTAACACAAGTGGCTCTACAGTAAAATCCTATGACAGCGGCAGTGGTAAGTAGCTATTTTACCTTCCTACGACCTCACTTATAAGCTAACGATTAATACTTAGTTAATTGCATGTACTGCTCTGCCAATCCACACTGCGTCGTGGTTATTTATTTATTCGTTTGTATGAATTTTGTCTGCTTTCCATTCATCGAATTATCCGTACGAGTTGATCTAATACGGCCGTGCTTCAGTGCCTTCTACAACCAACAACACACGTAACTATTATTCAATGACACCATCGTTTAGTCAAACCAGGAAACACCAAAGTTTCGACTGACAGCATTTATCTACACACATACACATATATGTACACGTTGTGAATCTAAACCATTTGAATACTTAATGAGTTTTCATCTGTGCTTAACACAATTACCAAACTAGAGAAAAGTAAAGAATGTGTGTTTGGGGAAAACTGAAAAAAAGAAAAACGTTTCAAATTTCCCGAAAAATGCAAAATCCCACATATAGCCAAAGTATATAAACAAGGATTAGTTAAAAAAAAAAAAAAAAAAAAAAAAAGATAAAAAAATTGGAATACAATTATGAACAATTAACTAATTTTTCGCAAAATATAAGGTTCATGGCAAGCAATATCGCATACTTCACTTGAAGAGATTCCGCAATTTTGAAATTCTTTCCATTCCTTCTTCTACATATTTTTATTTTGAAAACTCCTGGCATTTCATTGCATATTAGTAATCAACATATGTCCGAAATTGTAATTGACATTTTAGTAACAATATTGGCTTAGTGTGAAAGTAATCATCATAAAGTCTTATCATGTTTAACATTATTTTGGGTTTGAATTGTTTATCAACTCTTCACGTTCTGTTTGTTAGCCCAAGTCCCAGAAGAAAACAAACATTTCAGCAAAACTTTTCACTAAATGGGAAATTTATCATAATGATGTTTTCTCCCTCATGTCTAACGTCACATTAAATTTAAATGTTTAAATGTTTTATTAGCTTTTTGCAGACTGTGTCTGAAAATAAGACAAGACTAGCATTGCAGCAGAAACATTAGATTAACGGGAAATTAATTACGTTAAAGTCTTCTTGTCATATCTATCTGTAGATTGGTTTCTTTCGGTTCTAAACAATCTGTAACGCGAACACAAGGCATATTCAGATATCCAAAGCCATTATAAACGTGTTTGCAAGTCACCTCTCTATCAACTTTGATCCATAAAGTGTATGAAAGAACATCGATCCCAATCTAAATTCCTGCGATTTAAGACATTTCGAGAATGGCACGTCGATGTATCTATGCGGTAAAGACGCCTATCTATCATGATATTATGAATTCCTTCGTTTCTAATGTGCGTTGAGGATGTTAAACTGTTTCCTTCGTTCCCCTTGGAATCGTATCAGTTTCAATTTGACTCAAGTATATGGCACCCGTTAAATTTTATAAAACCTAATAAAATGCAAGAAGCTTTCTTTCTTAAGGGAAAAGTCAATCAATACTGCCAATTTCGTTAATTCACACAATTTGAAAAAAGTTGACTTGTTCATCGACTTGGAGGTTCTATCCGATCAAAGATTACGCTTCTCTCTCTTTACATAAAGCTTAACATGAGCTTAGCCAGACCAATAAGACCAATAGTCGACTATGCCCCCGTTGTGTGGTCTCCTTCTTATAGATGTCATGTAGATTCAATAGAATCCGTTCAAAAGCAATTCTTTGCTGTTTGCGTTTAGGAATTTGAGCTGGGTCCCACTTGCCTCTCTGCATCCTTATGAAAATAGATTGATCTGGTTAGACTTACCTTAGTGTTTCCTTCCTAATGAACTTAATAAATGGTACTATGGATTCGCCAACATTACTTGTTGAGATAAACTTCGAACTGTCCCGAATCGCTTCTCTAGGAACTTCATAAAGCTTACTCAATGTAAATATAATTACGAGTTTTCCAATCCGTTCAGAGTCGTTATATCTATCACTGACTCTCAATATCGGGCTCTTTAAATTTTATCAAATCAAATGTCCTTAATACGCGCCATTTGCCTATGTCGTGTGATTCGAAAATTAACTGCGGTTGTTTACTGTTACCGGGTGCCAAGGATCTGGTTGGGCACAGCAAATACATCGTACTTTAGAGCTTCATCGATTTCCACTAAAATAAAGTGAAAAGATAAATAAGCAAACATCAGTCTACACCTATCACACTGTTCTCATTGAGGGGCAATCGTCTCTGTTGGTTTCCTCATCTTGCTATAACATTTACTTATTATCTTCTTGGATAGATTGTAAAAATCAAACATATAATATACGCCAAGCTCGATGATTATACTGGATCGCGAGACCGAAAGCAAAGTGACAACGAAAATAATTACTTCTAAGAATCAATCGTATTTTGTGCAATCATTAATTGTTTAATTTAGATTCGTTTAATTGTTAAGGCGAACCTGCAAGCTCTTCTTCTTCCTCTAAACAAAGATAATACCGCCTGCCCGCATTGTACATGATTGATCTGTTGATTACCATAGCCGTATCCAGCTGTGGGTATGCCTCTGTGCTAGATGACTACATACTTTTTTTCATAATACTTAGGATAGATTTACTTCTAAAAGGCAATTGAATCCGTCTGTTAATTTATTTTAGCTGACTTTCATCTTTGTAGACCACTAACGAATAACAGGCAGATTCAGATCAGTTTTATCAAATGAATCTAAAAACTCATTATAAACGTGCTTGCAAGATAGTCACGTTTCTATCAAACTTGGTCCAAAAAATGTGTAAAAAAACTTAGGTGCCATCCTTTTGTCGCTTCAATCTAATTTTTTTCGACTCAAGGCATATCAAGAACACAAAGCAGCCTAACCTGCAATATCACGCCGATGTACAAATGCGGTGTAAAGTATACGATGCATGTTCCTGAAAGCTATAAGCAAAACACCAACTTTCATGAATGAATACGAATAATGGTAGTGGTAGTGATATGGTTTTAGTCTAACTGAAAAATTCCTTTTTTTTATATTACGGCAAAAAGACAGCACGTAACCTTTGAACACCTGTAAAGAACAAAACTATACACGAGTACTGACATTCGTTTCAGTCGCAAATTAAATAAGTGAACATCATAACTGAACTCTCATAGATGCACGCAGGCTAAAGGCATAATCTTTGCTTTATTCAAAATTAAATTCAAATACAAGTTCTCGTCGTTTTTTTTAATTAATTCAGCGGTCCTTTGTGGGCACACGCCTCGAGTTTTATTATGTTATGGTATAAATAATTTTTTGCACACACACACACACACACACACACACGCGTACAGCATCTTTACACAATATAAATGAAATTTTACAGATTATAAATGCGTATGCATGTATAGCCACGGATACAGCTGCAATATAGCTGCATACATGAGTGGACCGTGAAACATGCAAGAGACAGACAGACAGACACAGCTGTATGCGCCCTTTATATTGTCATAAGATTTAAACGAGACGCACTAAATTAACTTGGTTATGTTTTTACTTAGTTTGCACATGCGAAACTGGTATAAGTTCAACTCATTTTCAGCGCTTACAAACACGTACGTAAGGAGCGCATACGAATGCTTTCTTATGTGTTCGAACGAGAATAAACATTTGCACATCTGTGGGGGTTAACCAATTGTGGTGAAAATCTACCAACCTTCACAACCACTAATCGATTAAAAACGTTGTCCTAGTTTACATATCAAGCTAAACTAAACAAAATCATGGAAGAACCCTTTAAGGCATAGACCTTAAGTTTTTTTTTTTTTTTTTTTTTTTTTTTTTTTTTTTGCTTAAACTTAATTTTTATTGATCGTTATGTCAGAATCATTGCTGCACAGATGTGTACTTAAATATCAACGTTATGTTACCTGTTATGTGTACACCCTATCTATCCTTTAAATGTTTGGCCTAAAACTATTTTCATGTTGAAACCAATGTAACTTCTCTTCGGGCTCGTTTCGGATAATCGACAATATTTGCAAAGTAAAAACAATAAACAAAAATACCACAAACCCACAAAACCTATAAAAATGACTGAGTAAATGCTTACGAGAGAAATCTACATCATCTACACCAAGCAAACTCACAAACTATTCATTTTCAAAATGGTCTAAGTCTGTTTTCCTTACAAAAAAACAAAACCAAACCAATCATCACTTCCTATAAAAGGCCGAATAAGCGAAATATGCGAGGCAAGCTTGAAATTCTCTTTGGAAAAACTATAATTGTGGAATTAGTTTCCAAGTGTTTTGGTGTTTTTCGTCAACGCTTTTCTTGCATCTTTTTATTTCTTACCATCCATCCACAATATTTGGAAAGTGTACCAATACATGATTTTGCCTGCCTTTGTAGTGCGTTTGTAATTGTTTTGTTGCCTTTGATCACCAGAAATGCAAGAAATACGTGCCTTTGCGGAACGAACGGTCACTTATTGGGAGCAAAGGTAGCTTTTTATGGAAGTAATAGCAGTCTATGCCAGCATGGATTAAAAGGACTTAATGAGTGAATGAGTTCTTACAAGAATTTCAAGCAATGAAAGAAGTGTTAAAACATTTTTTCCAAGTGTACCGGAGATCGGTTTGTGTAAGATAAATCCTTTTGAGAAGCGGTCTGCTCATGCTGTTCATGTTAAACGTGATTATAAAATTTACTTAAACTAGGAGCTAAAAGTGTTGAAAGGAATGACAACGTTTCAAATAATGGAAGAATAATACAATAATCACACCATTTATAGGCGTGTCTGTAAGGCCAACGCAGCGAAAGAAAAACATGCATATTGAATGACTTAGTTCTGATAAGCATCGCCTGATAGTAATTGTAGAACAACCGCGACCGCATGTAGCGCCAATTAAACTCTGCTTACCTTTTCTGGCTGAAATCAAGTTAATTAAAAGATTTGTAATATTATGTACGATTTCACAAACATTCATTTAGTTTCAAATATTTAGTAGAAAATAGCTTAACTTTTTAAGATTAAATGCAAAGACAAAATCGTATAAAATAAATCTATAACTTAACGAAAAATAAAGCTTAGCAAAGATATCTATCTCGTCATTAAAATAAATATAAGCGAAATATAGAAAAAAAAAGAAAGAGCACAAAAAACTAAAATCTAAAATGACTGCATTGAAGTTTGGTGCACAAAAAGCAACGAACGGCTCACACATGTGTTATACACAACGCGTATGTATATATTTGTATCATATATAAATCGAATATATCCCAGTGAATGTTTCATTCAAAATACTCTTTTTGGGTAGGATATGAAAAACTTAATCATAATAATCGGCGACATAAGTGATGATATTGTCACGAACACTTTCAGCGCAAGGATTCAAATCCCAGAAAGCTCCGTAGCAGCCGTTTTGTTCAAAACAACTGTAACGTATTTCGCTATCGCCCGTGGAACAGCAATTGACAATAGCCCAGACGCATTGCGAGATGCCTCTATTGCCCTGAGCTGGAGGAGGTGCTACTGATGGTAGAGCCGGAGGTCGCATGGTCGTTGTTCTTGGCGCGTTCCCTGCCGGACCCATAGGACGCATTGATTGCGAATTTTGATTTCCAGGATCTAGAAATTTTATGTGCAAAAATAATAAGAAGTATAGACAGACATGAAGGAAGGAAATGACAAGAGGAGGAACAAAGACAAATATGTTAAAGCGAACAATTAAGACGAAATTCAAGGCGATCATGCATTGTGCACAGGATGAGCGGTGGCGGAGGTGTCTGGACAAATGGAAGTAAATACAACCGTGTATAGAACAAGCTTTTAAACACAAACTGATTAATGCATTTTACTCACTCATAAAACTGAAATCAAAGTTTCCAGGATTTGGATCACGGAAAATGGATTCCGGTGGTCTTCGAGTAGCAACTGGACGTTGCGTTGCTGAAAGTGAATAAAAATTAAAAATATTCGCCTTCCAATTGATTTGAAAACGTACTTCTTGATCCACCCGAGAAGATAACTCTATCATTTTCGTCCGCGGCAATGCGACTATCAAAACCTATAGGCATATCGGTAGGTGGTGGTGGTGGCCTTACTGGTATATCCAAAGCATTATGCTTTTTGCCTGGTACAGGTCGGCTACGTACGCAATAATTAATTAATAATTAATTTTAAGTCAGCGGAAAGTTTTTAAACTCACTTAACAAGAATGTATTGAGCGCGTATACCGTTTGCTCCACCACAATTGCTACACGGGACTAAGACATTCCGAAAGTATGGATTTAATGCTTGAAGAACGTTTTGTTGATTATCCATAATGGTTTGCGTGCTACGCTTTTTACGAAGGTGGACAATTTCATCGCTTTCGTTGTGCGACAATTTGTTGGACTGTTTATCAGTTACATCTTCCGAAAGAGGATTAACTTTAAGACGCGAAGCTTTGCTTTTCTTCGGCAAATTCTCAATCACAATAACAGGTTTTTTCGGCAACACATCGAAGTACATTTTCTCCGGTTTCAAGCGTTTATAGCTTTCAGCGGTAATGGGAATGTCAGATTTGACAGAGTGTTTCACTGGATCTTCTAAAATTGTAAGAATAAGCGTTGGTTATTATTTCTCTTACTTACTGCAACTCATACTGTGACTTACTGTAATCTTCATTTACATAATCCTCCTTATACGTTATTTCTGGATGATTCAATATAAACATTTTATCTTTATCGGCGTTGTCGTGTTCACCGCCATTAGCAATTGTGTTTAACTTTATTTTCGTTGCTGCTGTTGTTGTTGTTGTATTTTCCCTTATCATTCTGAGTTTGAAATCATCGTCACTCTGTTCGGGTCGACAGGAACCATGGCCGATAGACAATAACAGTACTATGAAAAAACTTCCGTGCAAAGCAAAACATTTCCCTTTTGTCCGGAAATCACCAACAGCTGCGCTCCAAGTTAACTCTTTCATTATTAAGCCTGTGATATGTTCACACTGCGAATGAACTCTTTTATACAGGTTCTATGTATGCTCTCCTTTCACTAATGATGGGTTTGTTGGGCTGTTTGTCTGAATTTTATTCAAACACTCAACCACAACTTTATGACTTGTTGTTAAAATAGTTTTACAATTTGATATATAAATGATGACTCTTTTCTTTCTCCCTTCACTCCTGAACTACGACGATTAATTTTTTACTTGCTTCTGCTTACTGATTTTGTAATGAAATAAGTAAAAAACAAGGAAAAAAAACGATATTTTAAAGTTAGAAATTACTTTAAGAACTTTTCCTAACACGAACAACGAGCAACAACAATTCATTATAGTTACGAATATTTGAAAATTAAATCTCTTAACGATTTCCATTTTTATTACCGGTTAACCATAACTAAATTGCTAGATAAGTGAACAGCGTTAGATTTACGCTCCACCTAGCAGAAGAATGGTCTGTATCTTTTGAAGTCACAGTCGGCCAAAAAGTTAAAACTAAAAGTAATTTGAATCAATTTATAGATGGGCGCAGGTTTTCCCGAGACTGTAGTTAGAGTTTGTCCTATTGGCCGAGTTAAAGAATGTCCTATCAGTGCCTCCTACGCTTCATCTACATAATCAATTATTTGCTTAAGAAATGCAAGTCGAAGAACTAATAAGCTGAATATAGAGTCCTGACTTGTCTGTCCTTTTGTCCGCCTTCTTAAATGTTGCTTCAGGACCAAAATTTCATTTCGACTTCTCACTTTGCGTTATTTCCACGGCAAAATCGAATATTATTTACACCAAAAGGAACGCTTTGAACATTATCCCACTTGTATATTTTTTTCAACATACTTTATCTGCCTGCTGAAAGACACTGCCTGAAGATCGCTGCCGAATTATCATCCTAAAGCCTTCACTATTTTTAATATTTTTTTTTGAATTCCGTTTTCGAATTAATCTATACTTTGCTACCGTACACCGACTCCCTTTTGAAAGGCATTTAATCACCAACGCCCTATAATCGTAAGAACATTAACACTTTCTCCTTAGATTTCGGCTATATTCATGCCTTAGTCAGCTTACGAGATCTTATTCATAAAATTTTCATTTTACTTAATAACTCCTCCTTAATCAAATAAAAACTTACTTGTTATTGTTTGCTTACTTGCTTGCTTTCTTTCTTACTACAGTAACTTGTGCAAGCTTTTTTTTTTTCTTTTTATATACTTTTTATATATTAAAAGTATTTCGTCTGTTTGCTAATAAATGTTAAACGTTTATGAATTAAGGTTAAATTATTCAGGCGCTTTTAAAGCATTTAATTGCAAAACGATAAAACACATATACATGTGTAATGCATAGCATAGACGAATCCTCTGACGTATATTTGCAAATATTACATATACACACGTGCACATACACTAAAATAGCGAAATGTATAAAAGTAAGAGGACAGAGTTTTTTCCGAAGAAATAAATAAACGAAAAAAAACCGAAATGTTATTAGTCTTGAAGAATGTATATATGAATGTGCACATACACTCATATGCACTTGTACATGGTTAAGTATCAACGAAGAGTGTGTGCATATAGGCATATATTCGTCTGTGAACGATAAAAATAAATTTTATTATCTAAACAATTTTTGCCGACAAGAGTCAGTAGAGGAAAGTAGCTGTCATTATCTTTTTAATGAAATCCTAATAATTTTTAATTAGTTAATGAAAGCAATTTTTATCAATATTTATTGTTTGTTGCGTGTACATGTGTGTGTGTGTGTGTGTCTGTGTGTAACTGTGTGTGTGTAAGTAGTAGTAATAGTAGTAGTAGTAGCATTGAAAATCGTTGATGTATGTTATTTCCCAGCGCATGTTTTTCAATCCAATGAATGAATCAATTTGTTCTTCTCTTCCCTAGAATACGTTATCTTTTAAGAAGTCTTTTTAAAAGCATTGTCACCCTATTACTGATAAATTTTATTAGTGACGTCATTTTGGTTTTCTTTACTTATGAATCAATCAAATGTTTCTCGTATACATACATAAACTAATAAATTTTTCTTACTCACATCAGCAGGTGTGTCTATGTAGATATATTCAACACGAATTGCTTTCTATTAAACCGCTAATCACAACTTGACATCTTTCAGCATAAATATTATTCCAAAATGAATCGACAATGTAATTGTTTAATAAAACATATGCTACTTTCGATGATATTTCTTATGTTTTATTCTATCACACAAACTATCCAAATGAACATTAGATGGTCTCCGCCGAGACGGTAGACGATAATAACATGAGAGTTACATTTTTCGAAAAATATTAGCTAAGATCTCAAATTCTGTTGATTTTTTACATTTTTGAGACTAAGAGAAGAAAATATTTCATGTGAACAATATGGCGGCCATGTAAATGCAAGCTCTGTTGCGTGCCGGTGCAAGCCCCATATTGCGTAAAAAGAATATATGTAAGCGCGGCTTATCCATGTGTTCATGCGATTATTATAAAATTTTTTGCGTTTGTCATGCAACAAAACATAGACAATTAAAACGCAGTACATAGACTTGGACGTAACGTAACATTTCCTGACTCGAACGTACTATGTCTAACGCCGATGGCAATTGGCACATTTACGTACGACATATTATATATATGAAACCGGGTGAAGACACTTAGATACACTACACCATTTCGTTTAGCATAGTTATTCATAAAACGAGTTTTCAAAGTGAGGCTTTATAAGGGGAGTGATCGAAGAGGCAATTCGATCCAAACCATTTTCAATAGCGTTCGTCATTAAGTCGAGAAAACTCCGTCTATCAAAGTTCATTAAAATATGTCAAAAATTACGCCCTGTACCCAAAAAAACAAGGCAGAGAGACAGGCAGACAGACGGACAGACGGACATCATCTCCTGCGGAAGTTGGAAGCAGTTCAAAGGTTGCGCCTGTCGAAAATGATAGCTGTTGAAATGGTAGCTGCCTATCGCACAGCTTGAACGTCAGCAGTTTGACTATCTTGGCGGGAATGTTACTAACAAGCTGCTGCTTAAGGGGCAGCGTTATATCCACACAAACAGTTGGCGAAACTAATATCGATAACGGCGTAGCTAAAACAAGTATTCGACAGAATTTATTAACGGAATAGCAACAACTACGGAAAAGTACCATAGAAGGACCAAATCTGGTACAATGACTGGGGAGAAAACGAAGTAAATTGTTTTTGCCGGGTTGAGGAAATTTCTCGAATTATTTATGCCATTTCAACTTACAAGCAGGAAACGCACTTGACCTTTGCCAAAGCATGAACGACGGCGCGCGACATGCTATTTTCGTCTGACTGATACAATGGCGATGATCAATAGATAAGGGTCTATCTCCAGATGATGTGAAAGCGTTTCCGGAATAGTTTTACCCCAATGTCGCAGGCCAGTAGTTGGCAGTTAGAAAATCCAAGATTGATGCTATGGCCGTCTGACTGCTCATAGTTTGTGCGTAAATTTGCATATATTTACCAAACTTAACCTCTTTTGCGCGTGAAAGCAAAAGAAGCATGAAATCTACCTTCGCCTAAGGATATTCATTAAAATTCAAATCAATTGCCACCAACGGTGCCATATTTTTCACATAAAGTTCGTAATCTTAAACGTCATCTAGAACAGAATAAATAAATAAATAACATAAGACATGAATTACATATAAATAAGTGGAGGACAACTTATGAAAATTGTTTGACATTTTATCAACTGTAGAAGCGTCAAAGAGCACACACTTCGCAATACGTTTGCTCATATATATGTTTACAGGAAACATTGAAGCTTGATAGATACATTGAAATGCCGAATGAATATATTACAACAGACGGGATAAGACTATGTCGGAGAATTTCATTCCAGACTTGTTTCACTGTCTAGCAATTCAAGACTTGTGAGGCAAAATGTTTGCCTGTAAGAAATAATAATCGAAAAAGTAAAATTTTTTTTAAATATGTATATAAACATGTGCGTAAATTGCGCCTGCATGGATGCATTTATGTGTGCATATATGGAAGGATAAATTACAAATGTCGTTAACGAAGTAACGAAGAGCTTTAGGCCACAAGAAAATGGTAGATGTTTAAGAAAAGAATCTTTGATTACCGAATAAGAAATAAAAATATTTTGGAAAATTTTTTTTTATCAAATTTGAAGATGTATCTCGTTATGTTGAATGAACGCCAAATTTTCTACAATTTGCGACAGACATACACCTAAACTTATATGTACCTAAAAGACAACAAACTTACGTTGCCGGTAAAGCAACTTTTTTAACGAGAATAACTCAAAACTGGAAACATAATAGCACATCGGTAGATGTATTTTATAAGTTTTGAAAATTTACTACATGTAAAGAAAATTTGAATGGTTTTTTAATGTGATTTTTTTTTTTTTTTTTTTTTTTATTTAATCCGAGGTGAACATAAAGAAGAAGAACTCCAAATTAACTTTTGTGATCTCGAACAAAGTGCGAAGTTTTCATTATTCTTTCATCAGATGCGCTCGAAGCGCATTCCATACCGTTTTCATTCATGTTCATTACTAGCGTGTATCGTTTGTGGATTTTCTCCCATACGCTTATTCACTGTCATCCATCAAGCCTTATAAAAAACAGGAACAGATAAAAGCAATGCAGTGGGACACGGACCGTGAAGTGCCTTACTCGCCCTCGCTTAAAACAGTTATTCGTACAATGACTTTCCCAAATAAGGCTTTATATGAGAAGTGGTTGAAACAGTGGCCCGATCCGAACAAAAAATAAAAATACTATAGCAAGTCATAACCCACACTTTCGTGGTCGTAAAGGTATTCCGATGCAAATCCAAGATATATCAATAGCGTTGATCCTCCAATCAGAACATGTCGGTGCGCGAAATTTCGTTAAGTTATATCAAATATTATAACCTGTAGGCTGATCAGAAAAAACAAGGTAGACAGACAAAGAGACAGATAAGCTTAAATCGATTCAGAAAATAATTTTGAATTGATCCGTGCCAGATCGGTGGGCAAATTTCGAGTACATGTGGGTGTTGCATATATCCGCACAAACTTGATACATATTTGTATGACAAGTGGTGCATGGTGTAAAAACTGAATATTATAGAAAAAGCTCTTGAAAAAATTGAAAAATAAATTTAGAAGAATTAAAAAGAAAAGAAGGAAATTTACTTAATTGGATTTGTTTTAAAAATTGCAGAATTTAAATTTATCAGCTGCATTAAGACTTCGAAATTAATGACTCTTATAAAATTATATGTGCGATGGTATATTTATCATTGATGAGTAACGATTTGTCTACAATTTAAGCCGTTTGTCGAGTGCTACATTATAGAGGAGATTACATCTTCTTCTTTCTTGGTCAGTGAGCTGAGCAATGGCTCTATTTATTTATTCTACTTAATCAGAGAGACTAATACACTCTTACTTATTACTATTGCATATGGTATATGTTGCAGAAAAACTTTGAAAAACAATCAATAAATTTATTACATAGACACAGCTAATGCTAACGGATGGTTTCACGTAAACATTTTCCTTTCATTTTTCCAAGTTGTTGTTGTCGTTGCTTTACTAGCTCTCATGACCCTTTTACCGATGCTCGCATAAGTTAATTTAAACATATGTCCCCGAAATAGTTATATTAAATTTATCCACTTATTTGCTGCATAAGTACGTTCGCAGAGAGCGAAATGGAATAATTGTCGTTGTGGTCTTCTAAATTCCCGATAAGAAATATTCAATGATAAAATATGCTTCTTAGTTGGATTTTACCTTCCAGTCGCAAACATGTGCAGACTTTGCTGAACCACTTGCTATAGTAGCGCAGGCATTAGCGTGTATGCACACACGATATTTGATACCTCGCCTTTAGCTAGTAGTAGAAGAAGAGCTTATGCTTCCATAAGCAATACGACCCCTATATGAACCTTCGACCTAGCCTATTTTTTATCCCTACCTGTTATCATTCTGAGATACTGCCCTATTCCTTGTCCTCCTTTTTGGAAGCGAACGTGAAATGGCCATAAACGCTTTTTGTAGTGATGCAAAAAACCTTAAAAAATGAAATTAAAAGAATTTTTGTTTGTCGTATATGTTATATAACTTAAATAGCATATATCTGTCTTAACTCTAGCGCGAACACTAACTAACAAAATCCCTTTTAAAATTCAATGGAAAAATATTTTCGATCAATCAACTGACACATCCGTAAATAACAAAAGGAATTTTCATACATATTTGAGAAGGCTGATGTATGCATGAATATAAAACTTACTTCTGTCTATTTTCCAAAATATATATATACATACAAATTATCCAAAAAACAAAATAAACAAACAAGAAATAAAACAAATTGTAGTTTGAATAGGTTCACTTATTCCGATTGACAAAGAGAGAGAGTTGTGTTGTGTACTGTGTGTTACAAACATTATTTACCTGACGGCGTATGATAAACCTCTTGGATGCAACTCAATTTTTAACAAACGTTTTCCAATTTATCGCTGAGCGATTTTTGATAATGATGACTGCACAGAGTATTGCCTCATCAACGTATACATGCGGTTACATAGCTCAGCTAATCCCAACGCTTACACAGAGAGGACAGTATTATGTACATAACTAGTATTCGTTCAGAAAACATTAAAACGGGATATTCATGAAGTTTAAGGCGATGCTTATACGAGAATATGACTTCAGATGCAACTCAATCCTAATAAGCAAAAGAAAATAAATCGTATCTCGGGTGGAGAAGTCTAAAGAAGTCTCTGTATTCATATTATTTCTGCATTTTTCAAGAATTAATTATCGCCATCGTTATGATTACATTCAATGGCGCAATATTTTCATAATGATATTTAGTCAATGTTGCTTGTGTTGCTCTCTTCCGAAGATCTGAAATTATTTCAATAGAGTTGACTTTTCTTAAAGTTGAAACGAACTCACCGACCCTGATATGTAAGTAATGTATCTCGAAGTAGCGGCTACTGTTCATTTTCGAAAAGAATGTATGTTGACTTCCAGTCACTCTCTAACTAATTTACATAAATATATTTATTGCTTCTTCAGGCAAAAATAAGTTAAACGAAAGCTATTCTCCTTAATTCGATTTCTATTTAGGAAAGGCTGCAGAATTTTTTAAGTTAAGGGAAGTGGCCTAGATTCAGACTTGTTATTCCCTTTATCTTCAAAGTTCCTATAGAGTTATGAAGTTAGCAAACTGTTCGTTTACCGGCTGACATGAATTTGCACAAACACCTTTTGCACATTTTCACTCATCTCCTTTCAAACACAACTATATACATACATGCATACATACATACATACATACATACATATATATGTTAGTTTGTTTGTCGACAGCGATGATGAATTCGGTAAAAAGGTGTATATAGAAAGGGAAGGGCAAGCAGCAAAAAAAAGGAAGAAGAAGAATAGAGATTAATTTAAAAAAACAAAGAGAGTGCGGAATAACAAACAGTTTTTTAACGTTGCATAAAACTGCCAGTCATTGCAGGGAATTTTATCCGATTTGACGCGGTTCTATGCGCGACTGTTCTCCACTTTGACCAAAGCAAACAAAACCAAATACCGCGTAGACGACAAGTAATGTTAACCTGTGTAAACATTTAAAAAAAAAAAAAAAAAAAAAAAAAAAAAAAAATAATCGAGTAATTTATTTATTTTTAAATAACTTTAGATATTTTCAAATAATTGTATTAAAAAAATATGACAAAACGATCCATTGACAAACAAAAAGATTAATATGAAAAAAAAGCAAAACAAAAAATGTCAAAACAAAGAACTTTATGTGTAATTTTTTAAATTCTAATGGTTAATTGAATGCTTTGTGTATTGTGTGTTTGCGGTAAACTGTTAAAAGCAAATATTCGTTAGTGTGTGTATGTGTGTGTGTGTGTGTGTGTGTATGTGTGTATGTGTATGTGTAAGTGTGTGTATTTCTCTTCTTTTTGTTTTTTTATGCAAATCATAAACTAGCAGTGCAGCAGGCAGTGCACATTTGAACTCATTCATATTTTCATTCTCTGTTTCACATAAAAAGCCGCAAAAAGTTGTCAGAACGATTAAAATTCATCATCTCATGTATAGCACATATAGGACATACATACACACTTACATGCTGCATATACGTTCATAAATGCGTATGTGTGTGCCTTTATATAAAATATGCAAAAAGGTATGCATCCGTGAATACATATATATATATATATATATATATACATTTAGTAGGCATTTTGTTTGATAACACAGCAGCGATGATGTTTAATTTAAATTTTAATTAAATTTATTTTATTTAGTAAAAAGTAATTAATGAAATCAATTCACTTAATAGCAAATTTAAAAGGTTACAAATAGTTTATTAAATATACTTTATTCGAATGATGCTGCATGCACTTAACAGACACTAGCCCTTATTCATTTCAGTAATTCGTTTCGCAGGATAAGGAAATATGAAAAGTGTTTTTCCCAAGCACATCTCATTATCACTAGAGGTTTTACATTTGAAATCTATTCTTCGCAAAAACATTTCAAAAAATTATATTAATTTTTTATTGATGTCATGGGAAATGTGCTCCTAACAAAAACCTTTTAAGTGCCTAATGATATTATTCCAGCTTCCTGCTAAGGTGTAATTGTTATATTTTCTCTTCTCTCTCACGACCCTCGCAAAATCATTGCTTTGTAGAATCATGTCAATTAGTGGGAAGGTTTTATTGACTGGCAATCTTGACTTATGGTTGAACTTGTTCAATAAAGTCTTGTTGTTGCAAGCAGCACGTACTCGAAAGTCAATTGTTTATTAATGAAAACTTTATTCAGACTAATTTCAAGCCATAGTTGCATATGCAAGCTAAAGTCAAGAACGCTGTCATTCATATTTGTCTTTCCGTCCGAATTTATGCGGCTTAGAGAGCTGAAAACTCACACAAGAATGCTTAAGATTAAGACGAAATAGCGAAACAATTTTATCGTAAACTTCTCTCTACGATTCCCTAGATTCTTAACCTAAAAGGAGCTGCCAGCTTCACTTGGACTATAAGAGCAAAAAAAAAAAAAGGAAAAAGAAACAGCTCGGATTTCACCTACACTGTTAGTTGTATGCGTTTACTTGTGCTATGTGCTACATACTTTTTTCTTTTGTTTAAGCTTGCATATCTCTAACAGGCAACAAACATATACACAACGACTATGTAACGGTATTATTAAGTCCTTCTTTGTTCCTCTTACTTTAATTGGTATGGTTTGCACAACAAGTTTATGTCAAAATGTCACACAAATATTGATTCATGTTCTGCTCCTGTTGTTTGTATGCGTATCTCGTGTTGTCATTTTTTCATTCGAAGTTTTTGTGCTCTGCGTTATTAAATGGAAGATGCAACAAGCGTTATGGCATACAAAACGGAAGGAAAAGAAAATAAAATTTCATTTTATATATAAGTCTGCCAGTCGGATTAGCATGAAACACAATGTGCTGACAGAAAGCGATTTCGTTTTTTTTTTTTTTTTCTTTAATAATATTTTGGAAAAAAAAACGTAATAATACGTTTTCTTAACTGTGGAAATCATATTTCAACGCATTGTATTAACAAAGGGTGCCCCAAAAATTTACGCAAGATTTCAATTAAATAATTTATAAGGTTTAACTGTAGTTTTATGTGCGGAATAGCAGATCGCGCAAAAGGCCTACGCGGCCTTACTGGCATATATGCACTCTTGCCTCGATAATCACACGTGAAAATAAGCCGCATTGCTTAGAATGATTTTCTTCGAAAAATCACCATTGAATGGTTGATGTTCAACAGTCTATTCAAAGAACTCTGTTCGCTTTGCATAATCGTTAGACTTCACTTCTTGCGTCGACTGCACTTTATACGCATGGAAACGTAAACCTTTACTGGGTATACGCTGTAGAGAGCTTCTTGAAATTTGCAATTCTTGTTCACACTGCCGAATTAACGTTTACCGAGGCTCTCACGCCTTGCATCGATATGAACATTGTTATTGGACGTCTAAAGTATTTGGCATCACCAATTGACTCAGTCCTGTTGATTTTTTCAATAATTTTTTTCATAGTTGACTCAATATTCCAAACTTTTTTGTACGAAATTTGCGAAATATTTCTGCCAAATTTTCATTATTTTCGAAATGTTTTGAAAGCATTACTCCCCCTACTTTTATTTACCCCTGAACTGTCACGTAGCAGAAAGTCAGCTTTCGCGTTTGAATTCAGCCGTTTTGACAAAGCAGGCGAATACTGAAGCGAAAGCACCAATTTTCATACATGATTAGCCCGCCCATCCTCCTCGTCCACACTCCTCCACATTTCCTTTTTAGAGTCGCCAATATTTTACCGAACAAATGGCGGCAAACGCAACTCTTGCCCAAATGTGAAGACATCCTACATAAATCAGTTGTAAGATCTTGTACACTAAAAACTCATTTTACTAACATTTTTTTTGTTATATCAGCCGTGTCTATGATTAGAAAAATCTATTTAACTTTTCATGGCATTTGCAATTGCTTTAGTATCGCAAAAGGCGCTTCATAGAATTACGTAATGTATTTCCATTATAAAGACATTCTCAAATTGTTAGTTAAATTTTCCGTGTGTACGTAAGTCTCCAGGAGGTGAGATGAGTATCGCAAGCGAAACCGCAAAACGATAAATTAACTGATCTTTGCTTGATAATATTTAAAACCTTAAACGCTACTAAATACAATGCTTGCGTGAGTTGCTAAAGCAAAAAAAAAAAAAAATAGAAAACAAAAAATCATCCAACTAGTGTTTGTTTACATAAACACGGATGAGGTGCAAGATTGATAACAATAAACAAGTTTATTCCGATATAGAAATACTTTAGTTCAAATAGGTCTGTTTGTTTTCGGTAAAAATATGAATAACCACTCGAAACATAAACCATAAACCATATGATTTTGTTTTGTTTTCGTAAACACGGCACTGTCTTGTCTGTCAAAAACAGCGCACGCAGAAATTTTAAAAGTTTGGAAAAAATTTGCGATCACGTACAACGT